CTGGTCAAAGGCGCGAACATACATATAATTTTATTAACGCAACAATGACCTATATAAATATACTCTATGTAAAGCGTTTTTAGTGGATTCTCTATAATATTTGGTGGCCAATGTTGACGTCATAAAAATAGTTTTACTAATGGAATGATCTAGACATTTCAACTATTACAATATAAATAAGATATCATTCCATGAGTATTACAAATTGTCTTGAAATATTAAATATTGCGATGTTCGCGTCTCGAACCTTTTTAATCTATTAAGTATAGTGACATCCAAACTTTATAATGGCTCGGAATTAAGTACAAGTCGCAGTGAGCTCTAACACCCAACTACGAACTAATGCGCTTAAAGCAAACCAGGAGCCGGCATAAAATTTGAATGTTTCAATACTAATTATACCTGATAAAGGACTGGAAATATACGCATATAAAACTGATTTCCACACCAGAGTATTGACTGTAATCGTTGTTGTATAAAACTCGCTGCACACGCTCAGTTTTATCTGAACAGCCTTATTCAGTTAAATCTATCAAAATACTGTTTAGGTAGTATTGCCTACACACGTAAGATGTATCTGAAAAAACTGAGCGTGTGTGGCGGGCTTTACACAATTCTAAACGTCTTTAAGATACGTTTCCACTACATTGTACAAGAACTTTATATCGCAATTCAAGGAGAACGAGTGAGACGACTATACACGTTTCGTAACAGTGTGTCAGTGGAAACCGTCGTTTATACATCACCGGCTTTCTGCTGAACACTCGTCGAGTCTACAGACAATCAATTCACCGTTTATTATTCAAGGGTACACACATACCCATCGGACTAGACCGAGATAAATTATTTATATCTTAATTCATTGATAAATATTTTTCGAGCGAGACGCATTGAAAATGGGCTTACTTTCAAAGTATTTATATCAATACGACTGTTAATCTATTTTGTATTAAAAATCAACTACAATATAACTAATATACAATACGAAATACAGTTAGGTGTTTACATTCATTCCAATCAAACAATCATTACAACCGCTAACTCCTAACACGAACTTATCGCTATCTTCTCTTTGAAAAAAGAAGGAAACGACAGCTAGTGTTACGGCTATCAATTTCTACAAATATAATATTACATAAAATTTACCTAAACGATATTACAAAGTAATATAATGGACGAGGAATTTTAAACATAACATAAATAAGATCAGTTCTGAAATGATGATTTTCAATTTTTTCACAAAGAAAATTAGTTCTAATACGAAACACATGACTTGAATAAAATATTTACTTAAGGTTCAGTTATTTTTATTACCTATTGTATTTTATTATTGGATGTATGAAAAACTTTTTAGATGACCTAAATTGCTGAAAAGAAATCCACAATGGAAATACTAAACAAAATTAAAGTACAAAATAATTTTGAACTACGGCAAATGATAAAAATCATTGTTCAGGCGTTTAAAGAAAAGGATACACAACCATACGTACACACATCCTGATTCATACTACGTCTACTATAAATGTAAGTTTTACATACTAATTATATTAACTCTGAGCACATAACAATTTATATGAATATCTTTCAAAATTGTATAACATTTTTTAAAATTTACTACGGTATTGAATGCATTAGAGGGTTACTAAAAAGAGGACATTTTTAAAGATATTATTTGCCTTTAGAAGTTGTAGGAAAAAGCTTTTAAATGAACGACTACAATTTCAACAAGAAATTGTTTCATATGTGATGTAATTACAGACAAAAGTAGAAGATTACAGGTGTAAAAGTCCTCTTCTTGCGACCTCTATGCTCGTATCACCCGCAAATTTTAAGTCCTTCAATTAATTGCCACATCACTGCGACAGTTGTCTGAGGTAGACAGGAAACACATAAGTTCCGTTACATTATCTTTGATAAAAGATTGTCAAGTCTATCAAGTCGCGCGGTAACCAAGTTACGGAGATAGATGTTAAATTCGGTCTACATATGTACAAATATCGCGTCGTATGATTACCTAATAATAAATAACAATTACCTAAACAGAGCTAAAAGAAATTATCCAATTTATTTCCCTGCAAATAAATGCAGCCATTACCTAACGTAACCTACGGTAACATGAAGATAGCGTAGGTCTAAAGTATTTTGCCTTATTTTAGGCATGATTAACATTTACCTAAAAGTTTTTCCATCTCTGGAACTTCCAAAGTGGCGAATAAGTAATTCATCAATAAGTTACTTTACTTATACATATGTCATTATCAGAAGTTGTATTTTAAAGACAGCGCTCCACCAAGCACATGTGAAGGTTAGGAGATCGCTATCAAATTTACCATAGTCGTCACAAACCATAACAGCGCAGGTCACCACAAAACAACTGTTTGCCCTTTATTAAGAATTTAAGTAATAGTCGACACACGAAGTCATTTTACTATCGAATCGCCCAAGTGCGGTGTCTCATACTTGAGGAGTAATCACAAACTAATACATCCACAATACTAATGTTTACATTACAAAAAAAATTATACTACGCCTAGATAAGTTGTGTTTGTGTTACGTGCTTGTGATGTCACAAAGCGTTTTCAGTTTTACAATACATGTAAACAAAAAAAGATTGTAACTACAGTAGAACTTCGATAGTTTAAAGTCCACGGGAAACACAAAATATTTTAAGTTATGAAGGGTCTATGTTGTCGAGGTTTTGGGCTCTGATGGGAAGGGAAGATATTATGTTTTGAAGTTAGAGGTTTTTAAATTTCCGGGGTTGGAGTTATCGAGGTTTTACTGTACTTGTCTGGCAAATGGCATGCATTTTAGAATTTATTACATACATTTGTGATTATCGATTGAAATAACATGTTTTGTTGTGTTGATGTATTTTTGGAATTATTAACAATGTTTAGTTTTTATTTAAGGTTGTATATGATCAAATATGGATTGAGGATTGCATTTAGGCACTATTTCAGTCTTTAAAAGTGAAGTCTTTTAAAGGCAGTACATATGTATAAACCGGGCATCTTCCGTCAATATAAGTTATTACAATCCGTATTCATGACATCTTAATTTTGCCATGACATATTTAATAATTTGACTTTACAAAATTACTATTGCATATCAGTGTAAACACCTAAAAACTACAGGTAACCATTTCATTCATTAAATATTCATTTCTACTTAAATAACATCAATATTTATGCGTATTTCTGTTTTCAGTTAGGATCTAAAAGACCGTTTCTACACTGTTAAAGGCAGCTTATTCACCGGACTAGCCTAGGGTACTTTAATAAAGGTTAGTGGAGACATATTTCGTTGTTAAGCGTCGCTAACAGATATAAACATAAATACTAGACAGCTATAAAGTCAGAGAGAAGTAATATATAGTAGTGTTCATAAACTATTTATAGATATAAATGGGTAATTCAAAATGTGTTATACTTAAGACAAACTAAATAAAATGTTTTTTTATATTAAGGTACAGGTAATATTCAGTGTAAGTGATTTATAATGGAAGTTTCAGACGAAATCACTCTGAATATTCAATTCCAATACTTAATATTGCTATATTGAGATATCGTTATATACTACATTGTAACGGCAGTTCTATTAAATCGTTTGTATAAAATTACTCATAAGACTTTACGGCAGTGAAGTATTACGTTTCAAATATCAATCTTCTATTATTCTATGGTTACCATAACATTAAGGGTCTGTCCCACTACTAGCTGAGGGTCAGATAGCTTAAAAGTGACGACACTTTCAGAGTACCAAAATCCGACATTTTCATCACATATTTTTGATGGATTGTTATCTGACAATTTACAAGAATTGTGGGACAGGCCCTAAATATACTACAACTTTAATGACAAAAATAAGATAACTATTACATTATTACAACCAGAACTTCAACAAAGTTAATATTCCAAGCTTAAATGAATGCAGGAATACTGTTGATTTATTACCACTGACCTCTATAAATAGACAGGCTTTAAAGCATGGTATTATGTGCTTATTTCATTTTCGCGGTGGCGAAATATCAAATAGACAAAATAACATCAACAGGCCCGTTGTAATCCGAACGATGTATGTAACATCCAAGTGATGACCTATCCATTTATATTGATCAGTGCTTTTTTCTTAACGAATTACTAATTAGGATATTAATTTCCACATCTAACATTTATAAAACGTGCATTTTTATCTATTGTATGCAAAAAGCTTTAAAAATATTATACTATTAGCAGATATATTTAGTTATATTGCAGGTACATGTTATATTTCTCAAAGCATTACAGCAATAAAAGCCTTCGTTTACTTTTTAATTAAAATATTCAGCCAAAAGGGTAAGGTTTGTTAAGTCCATCTAATACTTGAAGGTAATTTAGGTACAAAAGGGTCAGTAACTCCTATCATGACGGTGCTTTATGCCCGTAATACTTTCACAAAATGGTATATTTTAATGGTTTCCTCAATGTAAACTTGTAACTCGTGACGCAACATGTCGGTAAAACACTCAATGCTGGTAAAAGTCGACACTAACGCAGATTTCAGAAAAAATGTAAAACAGTATAGAAAACTGCTAAAAAGCAGCAACTTTACAAGCATTGTGACATTTTTGACATCGACAGAGGGCGCTAGTGAGGTTTCATAATTTAATTTTGTCTTTTTTGTGTATAGCACTGATTACAGTTACGCGAGATGGTAATTAACTACATATATTACGTTTAAAACAGTAACACATTATATAGTATATACTATAGGTAATTATTTGTAAAGTCCATATATAACTAGTACTTAAGTCATTTTCCACTAACCCGTTAGTCGTGCTTTTATGAAGTGTCCCTATTTCCACTGGCGCTGCTGCACCAGTCTTGTATTTAACGTACTATTAAAAATTAATAACTTTGAAAGTGATTTACAATACAAATATCGGTGTACAAATGTAAAAATATCGTGTCAATAAAAAATGTGTAAACATCATTTTATGCATTTAAATATTAAGCATTTTGTATTTTGGAAAACATTTTCTTTGTAACGCTTGCTTTATAATATATTTCAATTGATTTAAATTATAATTCTAATTTGGGAATGTACTCTACCGTACGCCGCAGGCAGCCACGCGCTTTCCTCGAATCTGGAAAAATACTCAAATTGACATAAACCGTATGCAAAACTATTAATACAAAAAGACTTTAAAGACCTAGGATATGGTAAGTCCTAAAATCTTTATTTAATTCGAACATTCACCACCATTTCGTTCAAATCATTTATAGTCATAAAAAATCTTAGCAGGTAATAATATAATGCAAAAGAAAAAGCTTTGCAAATGTTGAACAGACAAATATGTACTTATCAGTGCAACAGTTTATTTAACGTCTAGACTGTGGTATAAATATATATTTGCAGTTTACAAAAATAACTCGCCAGCGGTTAAAAGAGCCAACAAAAAAGGGCAATGCCTTTTTTGAAAACTAAGCAAAGTTCCCCTTTTAATAGTTTTTAATAATAATAACAATTGTCCAAATTAACTAATATTTGGTCTAAAATCTAACCACTATTGGGATGAGAAACTAGTCGAATTATCACATGTCAAAATTAGATTCGCTGTACAATATCCTTCTGTAATTTGGCGAAGATTTTAATATTTCTAAGGAAATTGCGCCAATGCATGTTAATATGGAAAAAAGAAAAAAGTTATTTTCTATTTAAAATAACCCTTAAGACAATAGGGAATATGCATGTATTTTATTAACGATTCTACTTGTTATAAAATAACCAGAAAAAAATTGACTTGAAAATATTCAATCTCAATGGTTGAATATTTTCAAGTCAATTTTTTAAGAAGAGCTAGAAATAATAAAATAAAATTTCGATCATTTTCGTGCGACTAAAACGCGGCCGAAGTTGGCATGAGACACATGACGTCAATCGTCATATTTCATTCTTCACATTCGCTCAGATGTCACTTCGACGTAAAAAACAACCAAGTATCCCATTGGTTCTCAGAGTTATCAAAAGTCAAAAATCGATGCATTTTTATTATTCAAGGTACAAATAAGTGGTAATTAATGATTCTTTTCATTATTTTTTTTTATTTAAAGTTAGTTTTAATTTCGTGTTTACAGTAAAATACTTCAAGAGTGAATTTCAATATAAACGTAAATGAACTGTGTATTGACAACACAGCGACGTCATAATAGATAAGTCAATTGCTTCGACCAATAGCGTTGCGTTTTAGAACTTAGCGAGGGTATTTATAAAAAAATCACTTTTTAATTATTAAATTTCGCCACTAAATCACATTGCATTCAAAAAATCTTTACTCGTTGTATTTTTTAGTAACAAAAAATACTTTATAAAAAATTTGGCGTCATATACATATTGCCTATTCTAGGCAAATTTCGAGCAATCGGCGACCGCTAGTATGTACCACTAAATTACAAATAACAATAAAACTTTTAATCATACTAATAACATAAATATGATTTGTTACTATGTATCTCCAACTGCTTTACAGATATCGATGTAATTTGGTATACTTGTGGAACATACTCTCAGAGGCTTACTTACTAAGATTTTTTAATTCCTGCGAGAAAGTCGCGGGCAAAAGTTAGTTGTTATATAAATAGCCTTCGCACAGAAATTAACGCATCATATTAAATTAAATGTACTTTAGTTTTTATGTCTTAAATTTATATTACTAATCATTATTTTGAAGAAACTTTATAATTGTAATATAATAAAGAGGGTTTTTTTTATTTATTTATATAATGAATTAACTCGAAAACTACTGGGGATATTGAAAAAAATCTCTTACCATTTATTAGCAACAGTATGACTGACTTAGGCTATATTTATTGTGATATATTTATTTAATTTCGCATTAAAGTGGCAAGCAAAAGTTAGTAGTAACAGGTCGCAAGCATTTAACCAATAGATTTCTTTTATTACCTTTATTTCTGTTTAGCTGCGGCGGCTTTCGCAGATTGTGGTATTATAGTTATTTCATCGTTGATTTTGAGTGGTTTCAGTAATGATTCATTGGTGGGCTTTGTTGGTGCCATTTTGCTTCTATCCATAACACGCTTCGCGACAACACTGTGCGCCGAGTACACGTGACTCTCAAACTGCTTGTACATGCCAAAGGTAGCGGTACAAACTGTACACTTGTATGACAAATGTGCCGGTTTCAATGTCAAATTGTGATCCCGGGCAACATGATTGAGCAACTTCCATTGGTATACCTGAAACATTACAAAATTTATAAATGTAGTTTTATATTTAACATTGAAATATCTTAGCAAGATGTATAATCTCTACTATTATAATAAAGCGTAAACACACACTTCTTTGTTGCCTAAAATGTCAGGAATTACACCATATTTTCGAATAACTCTTTTTTTAATAAAAAGCCCTACACTTACGTCACGCTTTAGGCTATATATTTTCACGCCGATAAACTTAGGCGTAAATATTTTAGACAAAAACCCTAATGTGGGAAAGAGACCTTAAGTTGCTGCCAACATCAAGGAATCAAAGTTGTCAAGGTTTATCATGTCATGTCGCGCATGAACGCAGCGAACAGCTAGTAATATTTATAAATGCGAAAGTTTAGATGGATGGATGTTCAAGTTTGTAGCTTAAACATTATATTTTTTGGATGTTTGTACCTTTACTGTTATAATGTATAAAACCTCATTGTGTATTTAGTGCCATTTATTTTCTATGATCATGGATGATCAGCAAATGTGCTAAATGGCTTTTAAATAAATAAAATAAACGGCTAAACGAATCACGATGATATTTGGCATAGACGTAGAGGATAGTCTGAAAGGACATATAGGCTACTCACTATTGTATTATTTAATTCCACGCGGACAGAATCGCGGGCATAAACTAGTTGTATAATAAAGCAATATATTTTAGTTTAAAATTTAAATTAAAAGAAATATCAGTTACAATCGTATTATTAAAGGGAAACAGAGAATTGACATGTTTTAGAATAAATTTCTTTACTAAATATATAACTCACCCGTCCACATACTGGACATCTACCAGCATCTTTCCCCTTATTGGCGGCCTCCTGCATAGAGCTGGTAACAAGACCATGTGACCCCAGAAGATGTCTCTCAAGTCCTTGGTCTGTAAAGAATCTGAAATAATTACAAATTTCATTATATTAACTGTCAATTAAAACTGAGTAAGCAAAATTTGTACATATCTTTTTTTAGTTTGTCTAAGGGCAAGCGCACTTCTTTGACTAAATTATCGCACAATGTATGCGATTGTCGATTGTTTCGCGGTCAAATCAAAGCGAGACTAAACATTTGTGCGATAGTTTAGTTTCAGATGTGCACACTCTCTGAAAAAGTATTGATTTGAGGTTTCATTTGAAAATATAATAGGGATGGGTTGTATGAAATCAGATTTAGATCTATTCTTATTTTTACTCTTATAGATAGAGAATGGATAGAGGACCAAATTGTAACCTTTGAAGAAAAAAACTCTTTTTCTTTAGTGCGCTATGAGACTATGTAAGTGTTTATATCATATGTGTTTCTATTAACTATGATATTTATACAAATTTAATTTGATACTTATTTTGCGTGATTAATCAATCTACATTAATATTACAAAGAGGGAAGATTTGCATTTTGTTTGTATTTAAATAACTCAAAAACTACTAGGCTGATAATAAAAATTCCCTCACCGTTAGAAAGATAATTTATCTGTGAGTAACATAGGCTACAATTTTGTTTGCTTTTTAATTACACGCGGGGGAAGTCGTGAGCAACAGCTAGTCTTAGATAAATAAATAAACCGTAAAACGATATCACACTCACCTACACTGACACTTCTGGCAGTTCAGGGGTGGCCTGTTATATATCATCTTGGGATGAATCTTGACCTTGTGTATCCACTGCATGTGATTCCGGAGCTGTTCCAGGTCTTTAATATAACCATCACAGATTTCGCAGATGACGAAGGTGCCCTTGTTCTGGTGCGCCGGCTGGGGCTGAACTGGCAGCGGCTGCCGTGGCAATGGTGTTATTGAGATCGACGGATGCTGCATGCTTTTTCCACCCTTGTTATTCTGAAAGTATGTTAAGTAACATTAAGACAATGCTAATTGGAGACTTAACGCTGAGAACCAATTATCACTTGATTCAGAGATTTTTAACAAAAATGGGTTAAGTTTTTCAATTGCTATAGTTAGCTTTTGGTCGTTTAATTTCAAACAAATTGATAAATCTTACTTAAAATAAGCAATAAAGGTTTTAAAGCGATTATTGGATTCAATTGTTATATAAAATGTAATTAACTTGGACAAACACAATATTAAATAAATGATGACATACAAAATTAAAAGTGAATATGTGAATATAACATTTTAACAGAACAAAACAATATCAAATTGCAACCTACTTCAATGTATAATTTTACAACAGTATACAGTATGTTACAAAATTCATCATACTAATATTAAAAATACAAAAGTTTAGATGAATGTATGTTTGTTAGAGTTTGTAGCCTAAACACCTGAACGAATTTTGATGAAATTTGGCATAGACATAGGGGACAGTCTGGAAGAACATATAAGCTACTCAGTTTTTTTCTTTTAATTCCATCCGGACGGATTCGCCGGCGAAAGCTAGTATTACCACATTTTCCTATTATTATTTTACAAACATAAGAAATGCCATAAATAACATAGTTTGCAATATTTTTCTTAAGAAACAATATATAACAATATATTCCAATTATTTTATGCTAGAACATTATACATATTTTCTTGTATTGTTGAATTGTATTGCCATTATATACATGATATTGAAATTTTAAAGAATAACTGTATGAAAACCTTATTTCTAAAGTTATGTAATTATACATTTGTTATTATTAAATGCATTTATTTAGATATACAAAAAAATATAGTCAATTGCAAATGTTACAGAATGTTGATGTACAATCTACTAATATTATAAATGCGAAAGTTTAGATGGATGTTTGTTAGAGTTTGTAGTCTAAACGACTGCACGAATTTCGACGAAATTTGGTATAGATGTAGAGGATAGTCTAGAGGAACACTTAGGCTACTCAATTTGTTTTTTTTTCTTTAATTCCAAGCGGATGGTGCACGGGCAAAAGCTAGTTCAATATAACTTTATTAAAAGAAAATGTTGAATGTTATTCATATCAAATTTTGTTTTGTTATAAAAGTTTCTTTTTAGCTTGGTTTGCAAATGTTGCAATTCATTACAACAAATTTTATATTAAATATAATGTTCATATTTATGAAAAAATCATTTTTGAATCAGCATTTAAAGTTAATTGCAAACTATTTGAAATTCAACCTAAACATTTGTACAGAAACAGACATCATTGCATTTTCTATATTTCTGTAAAGTTATTTTGAAAGTGGAAACCCAGTTATGTAAATAATGTAATATATAAATAATAAGCATGTATATACAGGTTTAAGTACATAAAACGCATCTCGTATGGCTACAGTTTGGTACATCAGCATGGCAGTGAAGTCCTCTTGTCACAGGATGATTGTTTGCCGACTGCATTGCCCAATGAGGTGAATAGCAAACAACTCGTACAAAGTACTGCTGCTATTCACCAGTTTGGGTAAATTAGGTCTGGCATAATAAAAACTTTCACACGTAGAAAGGCGCACACTCTTCTATACTGTTAGTAGTTGACTATTGTAGCACCTATATGCAAAACATCTTTTCATCTTGATATCTTCATTTACCTAAAGGATCATCCATCAAAGGGAGGGAATATTGAAGTAGGGGAATGTAATAAAATGGGAATTTTAAAAATACACGATTAAACAAAAATAATGGATGACTGATGGTAGATATAGTTACTGATAATATAAAACTCACCACAGCAAAGTTCGTAGGTATGAGTGAAGGTGTGCCTTGTCGTATGATGGCGCCGCCACGGAGCAGGGGAGTGGGGAGGGAGGCGCGGGCGGCGGGCAGCAGGGGGCTGCGGCCGCGCGGCCTGTACGCCCCTGCCCCGCCCACTGACGTCAACCCTCCAGGCATAGGCGTGCGCATGCCCATACCGCCGCGGTTGAACGCCGTCTGGTATGTACCCATCATATTGTTGCGCGATCGCGTTATCTGTTTGTAACCAGAATATTTATATTACTATCCTACTAGTTTTTCCCGCGACGACTGCTTGGAATTGAAAAATTAAAAAGTTAGTAACTAGCCTGGTTTCTCTAGACTATGTTCTAACTTGGCTAAGTTTCATCAAGATCCATAAATCTGTTTTAGACATATATAATAAGAAACATCTATCCATAACAAAAGTATTCAGACAAAGTATTCATTCAGACCAAAAAGTATGAAATTTAAAGAAACACTACATAAAACAATTACCTTTGGTATTTTAGCTGGAGGCTCCCATTCAATAGGTGGTGCTAAATTGGTTTCCGGTTTGAACTTCCTCGAGCAGGGTAGGAGATGTCTTGCCAGTTTTCCCTTGCCATTGTCCTCGAAGGGACAGTTGGCGCACTGGTGGTATGCGGGCGCTCTCTCCAGCTTGCCGCGCACATTGTGCTCAGCCTCCATATGATACAATATGTCATGTGGACTTCGTATCTCAAATGAACAATAGTTACACTTATAGACACTGTTTTTCATATGCGGTGTCTCCAGATGGTGCAACATAATTAACATTGATTCCGATTTAAAACTACAAAATTCACATTTATTTTGTTTATATCTATAAGGACTGTTCTTTTCTTGGCTTATCTCTAAGTTTTTCGTTAAAGACGCGATAGAAGATTCCGTGGCCCTTGTACTATGTCCTGCTCTTTTCTCTCTAGCCAGCTTTCTATTTTGCTGCTTCAGTAAATCGTTTTGTACAAATTCTTGGACCAGATTAAGACCGATATCCATAAAGAACTTACCAAGAGAACAGTCAAAATAATTATCAGATTTTCCACAAACAACCTTGTCTACAGGTAACCTGGTGACGTCTTTAAGTTCATCATTTAAATCTGCCTTGTCTTTGATCACTACTGTTTTTTCGTCATCATCACTGCCTGCTTCATCATCAGACTCTGTGGAGCTTTCACCATCCCAAGATGCATCATCATCATCATCATTTCCCCTCTTTCTTTTTTCTGCTATAACAAATAAAATTATAAACTAATGTTGCTAATTTTACAAATAACTATAGAACATAATTGTTTTATATGGATAGATGTTGTATCATGTATGTTAAGCAACTCTTTATGACATCTAGTGAATATTTTCTTACCTTTCTTTTCTTCTTTGATTTTCTTTTTCTCTTCTTTGTCTTCTTTCTCAATATCCTCTTCTTTCAATTCTTCTTTTTCAGCATCTTTCTCTTCTTCAGCTATATCTTCCTCTTCAGTTTTCTTCTCCACATCCTCCACCTTCACATCTTTTGTTTCTTCATTTTCTACTTTATCTTCTTCTTTATCTTCCTCCTTATCTTTCTCTTCCTTGGATTTCTCTTGCTCTAATTCAATCCCCATCAAATCAACAAACTCTCTAAAAGGCTTTATTGATGGTTTTTCATAGACATAAGGTACAATGAAGGATGGCGCCTCAACAACAAACATATCATCTGTAAGTGAAGGCAATATTATAGGTTGTGCGCTGCTTGAAGAACTGCTCTGTAGAGATGCAGCACTTTTAGCACTGACAGGGGTGATAGATGTACCCCGTCCTACATAATTCATGTAACTATGTGCACTTAAGAGATTACTTGCGTTTTTAATAGGTATTGGTTTTGTAATAGTATTTGTATCCAAGATAACAACCGTTGTTTCTTTCTTTTGATGACTTGATACATTTCTCATTTGTTTTGCAGCCATTTGTACCAATGATTTAGGGTCACTAATTACGATTGGTCGAGTCTTGCGTCTCAAATTGTCTTCTAAGGATGCTCCATCTGAGAGATCGTTGCCATTTTCCAAATCATCATCATATCTCTTTCTTTTGATAGCCCTACTGCTCCTACGTAACTGTACTTTATTCTCAGGAGATGGTATTTTAATATTATTTTCTATGATAACTTCAGCATCTTCAATTCCATCTATCCCTTGAAAGGTTAAGGTATCTTGGGTTTCGCCATTTTTACTATTAATGTTCTCTTTACTTTCTACCATGTTATTTTCTACATCATTTTCTTGTAACTTTGTATCATTTTCCTTAGAGGAGTCATCATCACAAGTGTCATTTTGTATATCTGAACTTAAACTTGCATCTTCAGACTTCTCTTCTGTTGACACTGTTGTATCTTCATCTAATGACTCTTTTTCAGTTTTCACATCATTACTTATTTCCTAAAAAGTTAACAGATAAAAACATATACAGTTACAATTATTAAAATTATTTCAGTATTATTAATTAAACACTTCAATAATTTTGGACATTAATATTTGAATTTGTACATCAATTTTCAATGCAAAAAATAATGAAAATCCAATATCTCAAAAAGATAAAAAAATATTTTGTATTTATGGAAATACTTCTTATTATTGCATATATAACTATTTCTTTATTGAAAATCAAGTGGAAATTAATTCTGAAAGCTGAAATTTTTTATCAGAGACTTCAATCTTTTCTACTTAAAAATTTGCCATATAGTTTAACTTACCTTGTCTTCTATGTCATTTGAATGTGGCAATTCCTCTGTCTCACTGTTTTCATATTCATATTTACCATTCTCTATATCAGCAGATCTAGTGGATTCAGTATCTGCGGCAGCCGGGCTTACTTCAGCACTAGTGGTACAGTGGTTTTCAATAGGACATTCACTTTCTTGAGAATCTTCTCCTTCTTCTGTATTTGGCATACTAACATCACATAGTTTATCACTGCTTTCACTGTCATCCTCTATTGAGCAAGATATTGTATCTTCCATAGTGCTTTCATCAGCAGTGTTGACATGATTGCGTGACTCGGTGCTGCTGCCCTTCTCACTGCAATTGTCCTGTTCATTATCTTCACAAATGAGCTCCTTACCCTTGGGGGAAGTAGGATGTGATAGTTCCATAACTTCCTCCATACTGCCATTGACTCCCCCATTCATTTTGTCCAACTACATTCCATGTGACACCTGTCAAAACAAATCACTAATTTAGGTTATGTTTTTAATGCAGTGGGTATTCAATATTTCATACGAAGCGACTAACGTCACATTTTTTTATAGTTAACGCCGTCCCCTCCCGCCGCCGCCTTTCCCCCCTGGACATGGCACAACCAACCAAAATGGCGGTTCCATGGTACGACTTCGCAGAGCTACGTGTTGAGGTTTACATTTTTATGACAAAACTAATCTGGCCTTTATCGATTTCAATTAAACGGTCAAGTAATTTTAAAGATCAAAACAAAAATACAAACACGCGATAAACTTTCGCACCTGATACTTGAAATAAAAACAAATTGTACAAAATTATTGTTTATCAACGAGAATTAAAAAGACCACATAAATACGCACCGATCACTTATACTGAAAGCTATATTTTCAAAAAGGTTGATTTGCTTTTTTGTGAAAGTAAACAATCTGAACCGGCGTATTTTTAATCCAATTTATTTAAATTCGTCTGTATTCAGTAACATTTATTTGGTATAACTGTATATTGAAATAATAATGTGATTGAGACACAAGAGGCCGTCCCGCCTGCGTTGCGCTGTCGACAGCCTCGGCAGCTACCCGTTCCACGTTCACTACTAACTAGCTTATTTCAATGGATAGCGGGTATTCAACACAACAACGAATACACACTCCCAAATTCAAAATAAAGCTTTTCGACAATTTATATAAACTCTAGGCACTGAAACATGAAACCTCACTGTAAATAACAAGAACTTACTTTTATAAACTTATAAATATTTTAAAAATCGGGGACCCTCCGACAAGATCCCTCGCTACCGCACAAACGCAATATGGCGGCGTTGGGATAGTCACGTGACCGCAACAGTGGTGTGCTCTACCGAAGTCGATAGTCACTATAAATGTATGTTGTCACTGATCTCTATAACAAATGGATAGGCATTTGCTTGAAAACGACAGCTTTTATATCGTTTCGATATAAACGCGTCTCATAATGACAAGAGAATAGTTATAAGCATGGAGATGAGGTACTACTTCATTACCACCGCTATAGTGTCTAAATAAGATAGATTAGTTTAATAAATGAAACATATGAAGTATCAAATTCTATTTGTATGAAGGTCAACGCCGTACTTAATAGACAGGTGTCGTAGTGACGAAACAAACGCGCATAGCGAACAATTTTGAACTATCGATATTCGGTTTAAATAATTGTCGAACTCAACTAAAATTATTATTTTCTTATTAGCTAATTTATAGGACAATTCTAGTATGATTATAGTGTAGAGAATTTAGCGATTACAGAAATAATAGTGAAATCCAATTCGATTACGTACGGTTGTAGTAGTAACAAACATTTATTTACTCTCATTATTTGTTATGGTCATTATTAATTTGAGAAAACAGTGTTTTTTTTTTTTAATTCATAAGTTATAACTATAATTCGAACTATATTTCGAATAAAAATCGAATATCGATAAGATTCATGACTGATTTTACACAACCCAACCCTACTAAATTTGAAAAGAATTGTCAAACTAATCTAAATTATTTAGACAAACTATATACCAACCGAAACCGTCAGCGTCAGAATGGCGAAGATCAAATAGGCACAAATACCAGACCTCCATAGCCTGTGTTTTATGTTTCCACTGCAGAAACACCACACGACCGATAACGCATATAGTTATCGCTCTTTTCCCAAAAGGAGAACGAGAGAGATTGAGAAGATGACCATAAACCTATAAATAAATAAAATTAAGTCGAAATACATGAAAGTACCTGCTATAAAATAAAGTACCGTGCTAGTTGCTAATAACTGGCATGCAAGTAAGCGTTCTCACATGCCTGTTACTTCCACGTGCCATCACCATGCATTCATGTGGTTGTATTGTACAATGACGTGTCATGGGTGTCGCCAGCCGATTTCCTACCAGGAAATTCGCTAGGAAATTCCTAGGTAGGTTTAGGTTTCTGAGAGGCGCAGCAGTGGCGTAGCGAGATTTATCTCGCACCCGGGGCACAATACCTTTTTTTTATGATTTTCCATCTAAAATATATGATGTGGGCGACTGACCACTTTTCCCATATCTTTCTCAATCTCTGCTTATTTCGCGGCTAATTTAATTCCCTTTGGTTAGTTTAAATCAAACAATTGCATTTCAATGTATTTGTTTATGTATTTCTTGACAGCCGCCAAACCTGAGTGTTAACGACAAAACAGCGCCTGTGCAAACAACGAATTTAGTTTTTGTTCCTGTAAAAGAACTTCACCGCCCCCTAAAATCCTCCTTTGAATCGAACCGAAGAACGGTACAGATACGGTGGTTTAAATTGGTAGTGTTATGTTTTATTTCTGAAGAATCATTTATTATATTTGTATTTAAAATATATTTTCCAGAATTCAATTATAATTATTTTTTTCCCGGACCATTATCGCCCCCCAAGAGCTACGCCCGGGGCAAGATACCCCCTTTGCCCCCCCCCCCTCATCGCTACTCTACATGGGCGCAGCTGCCATCATATACCCCCCCTCCACCCGCTTGACGACGCCCATGACGTAGCACATTATCCTACAGATACTATCACGTATCTCCAGAACAATGGATCGAATTTCGAAAAACGATAGATTCCAGCCTAGAATTCAGATTGACCATAGACAAATTCGATGGTTTTTAATTTCTCGATGTCGTGTTGTCGTGGACACTAAGGAGTTGTCTATGGTTCTTGTTTTTAAATTCTCTATAATCTCTTCATATCACATCCATTGAAGAAACTAAGAAATCCAGGAATACCTAAAGGACTGAAGTGTAGTTTACTAGTTCAGTGAAAAAAAACTTTTGCAACTTATTTAGCAATGTGATCTTGCCATTTTAAACCAAACGAATTTTTAATAGTTATATTTGTTTTTACTCTTATGACATTAATTATTATTACTTTTAAGAGTACTAGTCATTTGCAAATATTGTGATAGTTATGGCATATTGTCCAATCTTGTTAGTTATTATATTAGCTTTCGTTTGTGTTAGCACTGAAGATGAACCTGTTACCTCACAGATGACAAGAGCAGAGAGGATTCAACTAAGGTAATGTTTCAAATTATATAAAGGATTTTATTCACTTTCATGTCTTTATTTTACCATACATAGATCCAGTATGTATTTATAATAAAGTATATTGTCAGGAATGTTATATCAATAAGAATCAAATTAACTATTTACACAATTCATGAACCAAATTAAAGTAGGACATGACATTTATGTATTACAATTGTGCCATTGTTTCCTCAGAATCAATCTTGTTTTTTACTTACTAATACTTTTCTATTTACACTATTCCAAAAACGTTTTATAGCAAAATTGTCAGTTGTAAAGAAAGCAGTATTTTTCGTTGGTTGTTTTGGACTGAAGTTATCTTGCAAGAGAAAATTTGGAAGTGTAGTTTAGTTATTCCAATCATATACAGCTGCAGTCATCAAACCATTGTCATAAAAGTTCATAAGGAGATGAACAACTTAAAAATACAATCGTACTTCATACTTCATACTAATATTATAACTGTGAAAGTTTAGATGGATGGATAGATGTTTGTTAGAGTTTGTAGCCTAAACTGCTGGATGGATTTCAATGAAATTTGGCCTACATGTAGAGGATAGTCTGGTAGCACATAGCTACTTGGTTTTGTTTTTTTTTAATACCATGCAGACGGAGTCGCGGGCGAAAGCTAGTTTGTTATTTGAATATAAAACTAACGGCATAAGCAGTTTTATAGGTGCAACATAATTATCTAGGAATTCATACATATTTAATAATTGCATTAACTAATTATGTCTTAATTTTTAAGCATAAATGAGTTGCTTAAAGTATAAAGGAAATAACATTATAAATGAATTAAAAACGCAACTTGTTCATGATTAAATTTCATAACAACAGTAATTGTCAAAGAATAATCCAGATCAAAGATAAGTTAAGTTTGCCAAATGTATTATATCTAGCTGTTATACAATCTTTTTAATTATAGTAATATATCAATAATTATATCCATGTTATCTTTTATCAGTATCCAACATCATTCTATTGGAGCATTTTTTTTTTTTTACCCATCACTAGATTTTAAATCGGAACAAAGTGATCATACATTCATGTTTTTTTAATGGTACACATGAAATAAGATAGTCCTTGTTTGTCTCCTCCGTCAATGAAGGGTAGATAATGCATCTGCAATTGCAGATGATGACGCAGCGGTCGCTTCCATTTTGGCAGATTCAGGCTATTTGCTCATTTGTTATTAAAAAAGTTGTTACATCTGTACACTAGAGGGGTAGGCAGTACAGAACACTTGTACCTTTTGTATTTTAAGGATACTTATTGTATTATGTTAGGGAGGAGGCAAGAAAAATGTTCTACCACGCTTACGATGCCTACATGGATAATGCATACCCAGCTGATGAACTGATGCCGCTCAGCTGCAAAGGTCGATGGCGGGGAGTCACACCCAGCCGAGGTGACATGGACGATGTACTCGGAAAGTAAGTTAATTACTATTATGATTACATTGTATGTTTTTATAATTTCAGTAATAATATAACTTTCTAAAGATAATGATTGCATATTTAAATAAATTTGAAAATGCCAATAGCTTAATGGTTTAGGTAGGCTACTGATTTAGTACTTGTGAATCATATCCTAACACAGCCTTTTTAAAATTCACTAGGATAGGTAGGTAGATATTTGGTAGTTTATTTTTGTTGAAAATGTTTTTAAGACAATATGTTTAAGAAGGCAGTGAACTCAGATGATGGTTTATAGAGATTTAAGTAATAGTAGTATGTACTGTGCCGACAGTTTTAAGACAAAAGGGATAGATGATGGCAATCTTGCTCCTTATTTCTTACAATAATATTTTAAATGTCAAAGTTTAGATGGATGGATGGATGTTTGATAGACTAAACGGCTGAACAGATTTTATTGAAATTTGGTATACTCGTAGAGGATAGTCTGGAAGAGCACATAGGCTTCTCTTTTTTTTTTAATTCCATGCGGGCGAAAGTATTGTTGTAGATGAATAATAATTACTACATATAGTATTGTTATTTAACTGAATTACTAAATTGTCTATGTTTTGTTTTTTTTTAGTTTCTCCTTGACGTTGGTGGACAGTTTGGACACGCTGGTAGTAATGGGCGATTTCTCCGAGTTTGACCGCGCGGTGCGGCTCGTGCTTCGCGACGTCACCTTCGACCATGACATCATTGTCTCCGTCTTTGAGACCAACATACGGATGCTCGGGTCAGAAATATTTTAGTTTATTTTATGTCAAGTTAGGCTGGCTGGCTTAGAATTGAAATTAAAAAAAATGGGAATACCGAGTTAAAATCTCACTCACTATGACTTTATGTGACTCAATATGACTAAATATTTTGTGATGACTTTTTTATTTTGTTTTTTCTCGTTTACTTAGAGGCTTGTTATCCGCTCACGTGCTAGCGACGGCGTTGCGGAATGAGGTGCCCGCGTTGCGATGGTATGACGGACAATTGCTGGCGTTGGCTGAGGACCTGGGCCGGAGACTGCTGCCAGCGTTTAACACTTCCACTGGGATACCTCACGGACGGGTCAGTATGATCGAATCGAAAACTCCAATAGTCTAATTGTGAGGTACTGTTGTGTTGTAAACTGTATTGTTATATAAATTAGAGTCTATTCAAATAATAATTTCAAGAAATATAAATGTAAAAAATCTTTATTTGTAGTTTATTTAGTTGTTTGAAAATATATTTTTGATATATTTATCAGAATGCGGTGTGCAACCAATTACACAGTTTGTTTTTTTATAAATAAAGTAAAACAAGACCAATTACGATTGTTTTGTGAGTGTTATCGAAACCTCGAACGGTTAACTTGGTCGTTTCTCGAATGTGAAATAACTACAAGCGTATTTAATGTTAGTTACACACTGAGATTATATTGATTGTAAAATTAACTATCTATATAATAAAATGATCTGATCAGATATGATAATTGAAAGAAAGTCATTCGTGAACATGATGTATTTAAGCTATTTAAGAGAATGCAATTTTTAATTCTTGTCTTTCTATCGGTCCGATTTTAACGAGAATTTTACTAGACAGTAGTTAATTCAGGGATATATATTACGAGGTAGTTCAAAATTGACATAAATCCCTAGATAATAAGTAAGTCTGTACTGTAGGTGAATCTCCGCCATGGTCTCCGGGGTCTGTCGGAGTCCCGGGAGACGTGCACGGCGTGCGCTGGAACGATGATACTGGAAATGGCTGCACTGTCCCGTCTTACTGGTGACCCCATCTTTGAACAGAAGGCCCACCGGGCTATGGATAGACTCTGGATGATCAGGCACAGGTATACTCCGTCTATAATTATATCTTTAGCACTACAAATCGTTAAATGTTTTTTAAATTCCATAAGTGTATATATTGTCTCAATATTATAAATGCGAAAGTTTAGATGGATGGATGTTTGTTAGAGTTTGTAGCCTAAACTGATGAACGGATCTTGATGAAATTTGGCATAGACATATAGGATATTCTGGAAGAACACACAGGCTAGTTATATATGTTTTTATTATAATTTAAGCGATAATATAAAAATACCGAAGGGCACTTCAATCGCCTTTTTGTTATACGACGTTCTAATATGCTTAAAGAAATTAGTTGCATATTTTGACGTAATAGCTAGTAGTTTTATATTCCTGGTCAGAGTAATTTTTACTAACCCAGCGTGGAAATTAAAAAAAAAAACAAATTAGCCTTTGAGTTCTACAGATCGTGTTCTACATCTGTGACAAATTTAATCGAGATTTGTTTAGTCGTTTAAGCTACAAACTCTAACAAACATCCATCCATCCAAACGCTCCCATTTATAATATATGCAAGATGTGAATAATTTTCGCTTTACAACTAGGTAAAATAATATCAACAAAGTCCGTAAAATTGATTTATCGCGCGGAATTAGCGTGAGTTTCCACAGTGTTTTACAAGAATCTTTTATAGAGTAGTAGAGATAGGTTTTAACATGGTTTTTATGTTTCAAGGACATCCGATCTAATGGGTACGGTGATAAATATTCACTCTGGAGATTGGGTGCGGAAGGACTCAGGTGTCGGAGCCGGCATCGACTCTTACTATGAATACTGCCTCAAGGCTTACATACTGCTGGGAGATGAGAAATACCTCGCACGGTTCACACGACACTACAACGCGGTCATGAAGTATATCAGCCGACCCCCTGTCATGCTAGCCGTGCATATGCACAGGTATTGTACTTTTAAAATATCATCTTTGAGCTATTACTAAATATTTTTAATCAAGTTTTATACTAATATTAAACTATTTTAACTTTCTGGCGCTTATTCAATATTTTATTTTATTTTATTTATTTATGGACAACTTACAGTTAACTTACAAAAACATAATAAAATAAACAAAAACTGAAGTCTAATTACAAGTTATCGCAGATAGTCAATAACAAATTCACTCCATGTTGATTAAATCACATTTATATAAAACTAGCTTTCGACCGCGACTCCGTCCGCGTGGAATTAAAAAACAACAAAAGTGACTAGCCTATGTGTTCTTCCAGACTATCCTCTACATTTATACCATATTTCATAGAGATCCGTTCAGCTGTTTAGGCTACAAACTCTAACAAACATCCATTTAAACTTTCACATTTATAATATTAGTTAGATTGAAGATTAAAATAAAGAACCTCTTTGAGTCGCTATCGCGTATTGAAAAAAAAAATGGTGATTAAGAAGCCGTTTATTATTAAATTCCTATATATAGAATATATGAAGAAATTGTATTATAACATCTGCAACAACTATGTTTTTGTTAGACCTCACCTGCAGTCGAGGAACTTTATGGACGCGCTGCTGGCGTTCTGGCCTGGTCTGCAGGTGCTGCTGGGGGATGTGCGTCCAGCAGTAGAGACTCATGAGATGCTATACCAGGTGATGCAGCGGCACACCTTTATACCTGAAGCGTTTACATCGGATTTGCAGGTGAGTTATATAAACCGCTGTTTTCATATTTTCAGATGGATTACACAGGAAAGGGTTATTTCCACTAAAACTACTTTTTTTTCCTTGTTTATGGGGAGGGGAAGAGGATTAAAATTAACACACTCAAGGGAACAGACTAAGCGTTATTAGTACAGTCGGCTGCATCAATATGTATAAATTTTTAAAGCTTCAAAAACTATTTGTATCTCCTAATTTTGTATACATTATTGAGATCGAATGCTTATAAAACTCAATATTTTGTAAATCTTCACTTACTAAATGCGAACGTTTCGATGGATGGATGTTTGCTAAAGTTTGTAGCCTAAATTACTGAACGGATTTCGATAGAATTTGGCATAGTTATAGAGATGTCTGGAAGAACAAATATTTGTATTTAATACTATAGTTAACTGTAGAAGTTGTTAAAAATATTATATATATGTACAAAATCATTTTGGTTTAGGTACACTGGGGTCAGCATCCTTTGCGTCCGGAGTTCTTAGAGTCTACATACTTCTTGCATCGTGCTACTGGTGATGACCACTACCTGCATGTTGGTAAAAGTGTGTTGCGAGCGCTTCAACAACATACACGTGTTCCTTGTGGATATGCAGCAGTTAATGATGTAAGAACACGTGCACATGAAGACCGTATGGACTCCTTTGTGCTAGCAGAAACCTTCAAATACCTCTATATGCTGTTCGGAGAAGACCGAGATCTTCCAGTACATCTAGAAGACTATGTGCTAACCACCGAAGCCCACTTTCTACCACTCGCGCTTGCCACAGATGGACTAAACTCAACCCTCACTCTCAATATTGATGAACATGACGAGGATAAATATAAAAAGTATGTAAAAATCATTTTTTTATAACGTATACAATTATTTTCGCATTCTAAAAGGACACTGGCCAATAAGACTTTTGTCCTTAGAGAAAAAGAAAAGTTTTTTTTTTTGCTAAATTGTTGTTACTTTTTACCGACTTCCCAAAAGAACAAGGTATTCAATTTGTCTGTATGTCTTTTTTATCATTTTTTTTTCTAGTTATTTAATAAAATACTAAGAGAATTTATTGCAAGTAGATTTTTTAACAATGGAGAATATGTTGCAGCTACTATGCTGTTGTAAATTTACACATATTTTAGATATTCATTAAGTGGTTCTGGAAATTAAAAAATATCTATGTCTTTTTTACTATTTAATGGTAATTAATTAATGTGTAGGACGTGTCCGAGTACGTGGTCGTTGGAGGCGTCCAGTGTGCGTCGTCCGCTACGCACGTTGCTGGGCGGAGCGGGCCCGCCCCC